GAGTATACCTGGGGATTACGCACCCGATGGAGCGCATCAGTTGGAAAAGGTAGACATTAAAAATTATTCTATCATATATATTTTAACACATGGAATGACACGCGTTATCTTCGGTTGAAAAGTATGGCGATACGGAAGCAGAAACGGAAGAAAGAAGTGGAATGCAATTGACACCTGGCACGCCTTACCACACAACGAGAAGGCACACGGTCGGACCTGGTGACACGGCGCACCAGCCACCGACGTCATATCCTTACAATTACAATCATACATCGGGCGATCCGGGATTGCGGCTCCTTCCTATTTTACAATGCAACAATACCGATCCTCAAGTATTACCCCATACAAATTTGCCATTGAACCTTCCCCTGGTTCAGCATCAACCTCCTCAAAACTTCCAAATCAAAGACCAGCATTTATTAAAACCTCCACCAGTCATGGGAGCAAGTAAGTAAAGATGCATTTCTCGTCGTCCAACTGATCGTTTACTCTTTTAAATATAACGAATTATACGCAGCTGGGAGTTTTGGAAGGAGAGCCTCGGATGGTGGAGCGAATCTCCACGTTTTCTATCAACAACAGGGCAGTGGTTCTGCAGGCGCGGAAGACGGAGGATGGAGCCAACCCGGCAGTAGAGAACATTTACAGCCCGTAAGGAACATACTTGAACAGTTGCGAAGTACAAATTTCCGCAACTATTGATGGATTTCTCTTCTACTAAAGATACAAAGCGGGAGTCCAACGTTGGTACCGTGTGCTACGTCGTTAAATGTAGGAGTCAACAGCGGGAACGGAGATGGAAATGGCAATAACAGCGGAAGTGGAACTAGTGATAGAAGAAGACGGAGTGGTCTCACTACCGTCATGCAAAGACCAGGTATCGTGCGTTACGTTTATCAAATATTTTTGTGCATAATCGATGATGCACCTTATTACAAAATGTTTCACATCACTTCGACGAGAGTCGATTATTATGATTTGCTGTATCGGTTAGTTGAAAAGCTTGCTATACATTTGTAAGTATGATCACTTATGCCTTGTTTATACCGTTGCTTTCGCAGTATTTGCATATTGGTATGTTCTTTTTTTACGATGGCGTATTGCATGATAAACGTTCTTATCTGACGAATTTTAAATTTATACATACGTATTTATAAATATTATGTATTTCCAAGTAAAATTATTGTATATTACTGCCATAGTAAATACTCATAAGATCTCGTTACAATGTAAGCAACACACGATACGCACTTTATTCTTTCTTAATATCTTTTAATTTTTTTAGCATTCGTTATAATAGTTTCATTTGATTTTATTTTTTGATTTTGCATGGTTTTTTTGTGTCCACTGCACTGCCATGCCTCGTTGGTTGATAATATGCATGTAGTTATAAATCCGGAAATGGTAATGGAGGTGGAAGCTAGGATGAATAGAGCTTACCTTCCATCACGGCTGTTACCGTCGCACCTTAGAGGATCTACGCTTCCACATCACAGGAAGACTTCTTTGTACCATACTAGTACCGGTAATTTTTGTGTGTTTTTTTCTTTTGAACCTTGTACAAATATTATAAACTAGTCGCTATTGATATCATATGTTTTAATATTATACATTTAAGCGTGGTTCCGATCGAGAGTAATGCAATTTTTTGTCTTTTTAGTAGGTAACAGGGATTCGTACAAGGAGCCGAGCCCTCACGTTTCTACAGAGAGATATTCCCCTGTGCGAAGAGCGTCTGAAGGTTCGGGCCCAGCCGGACCTGGAATTCAAACGCTTCAACAAGAGTATCAACAACTGCAGAGGCTAGCGTCACCGTCGCATAGCCCTGCGAGCATTCCTGGATCTCCCGTGCACGAGAGAGGAGTCGCAGCAATCACACAAGGTAAATATCCTGTTTCCCACCCAATACCCAATATCTTGATATGCGAAGTGTGAGGAACTTGTTAAAGCCCTATGTAATTCATTGTGTTTCAGGTTTAAGCGGATTAACCACGGCAGCGGTACAAGGGAGTATAGTTCACGGTACTCCCACTCAACCGCCGGCGACGCCGTTAGATTTGAGTCCGCTGAGACATCATAGATCGCCAGCTACCACGCCAGTTAGTTATTCACCTAGTAATAGTCCAGCTTTAGATATGATTCAGGAAGAGCATCCAGTGGAAATACCAAGAGTAAGCACATGATCTCTCGATACCGCACCTGAGTGAAAATATTTTCTCGCTAACATACGATGTTAATTCGGTGTGATCCAGGTACCACCTCAGATATCCGTAACGGATCTTGGGGGTCAAGTAACGCTTATTAGCTGTTCACCGTCACCGTCTCCGTCGCCAGATTCGCTTGAGGACACGTCGCCTCATTACAGCCCGCTTCCCAGCTTTATCATCTCGGAACCGTGCGACCCGTCGAGGCCCAGCATCACGCGCGGTATCGGTAGGCCATTAAACACGTCAATACCCGCGGAAGTCGAAGTCACGTTGTCGGATGAGTCGAGTAGGTTGAACTCCGAAGCTATATTAGGTCGCGTGAAACAAATTATAGACGCGAGAGCCCCGCCGAAAGGGTTCGTCTTCTCCAGGGAAGAAATGAAAGGCGGTGGGTTGAATTTAGAATACCCGGGTGGTGTACAGATCGAACTGAGAGTTTGCGAGTCTGAGGAGAAGGAGGTAAAAGGCATTAAGATGCGAAGAATCAGTGGGGACCAATTGCAGTACAGTCAACTTTGCCAGCAACTGATCTCGTGCATTACCGTTTGACGACAACCAGCACGTTATCTAATCTTTTTCTTATATATTACGTTACAACATTCCTGGTGCCACATACACCACTCATTACAGTATTGCACATGCATGCTGCATACGTACGAGCGGTACTTTAAGCGTACCATTCTTTATATCGATACATTCATATGTATAACATTCAGTGTGCTTCGTTTTCCAATGATCTTCTCTTCGTTTTTGTTTTGACATGCGCGAATATCGGACAGGGAAGGAAGAATTGACGCTAACTTGTGCATAATAGCGAAGTTAGAATACGAAATAAGCTTTTTAAAGCCTTGACGATAAGGCTTTAAAATACGTGCTTTCGTGCAAGTAAGAAGTCAGTTTTGCTATTTTTAAACGATCTAAGTATTAACAAGCCAGGCGATTTTCGTAAGAGTTCGTAATCGTCGATCTACATCACATACACCATTCCTTTTTGTAGAATATTTGTCTTCATGTTAGAAGTTTATAGGTAATACATTCATATTTTACTGTTCGAATCATGATCAGGTGCCCTTTTAGCTTAGGTGAAATGGAAAAAACTTTTTGTACCGGATTAGATGGCAAAATAAGCATTTTCATGATATATATATATATATATATATGTCTTTCTAATATACTAGAGATGTTTTATATGGAATTTACTATATTTAACCGATTGCCATTGCAGACAGTTTTAATTTCGTAATACATATTCCATGTTTGTATATATAATATTTTGTTTTACATAGTATACTGCAATTTCCTTTTATCTTTTCTGTTATCGAGAGTAGAAAAAGAGCCGCCTTCTCGTTTCGTCGCCTTGTTAAATAAATTAATTTTAATGAGTAGAGATAAATACACACACACACACACAATCTTTTATACGCATAGTACAAATGCGTGTTATCGTGGTTTGTAGTTGAAAAACTACGCAGACTGAGTTACGATTGTATACCTTTCTTTTTTCGAATCGTATGCTCGTTAAGATTTTTTAAGCGAACGAATTTGGGAATGCATATTTGATTTCGAAGCTAGGGGAGTGTATAATTTTCCATTGGTTGCAAGCATTTAATGTTTAAAAAAGAAAGTATGCAACCTAGCTCTCATTTGTGTAACCAAAGAGTCGAGTTGCTTTTATATCATCGAATACGAGAGATATATGTTTTACTATTCGTATTTAAAACAAATGAATCCATAATTAATCTCTAATTAATGTTGAATGAAATTATAACTAGCATGGCACACCTTTTTATCATTACGTTGCAATGTTTAGATAAAAGACATTAACGTTGCGTTTCAAAGGACTAGAAGTTCCGATTCACTTAACGCAAGTCAAATATTTTTCTAAATTCACTTATTTACAAGCTATAAGGAAAAAAACGAAAAAAACAATACATAGAAAAATTTTATTCATCTACCGTATGAGGTAGGTTCTCATTTTATAAAATACAACTTGTTTATTCGAATTTATTTCATACCAAAATTTTTGTTCGAGCAGTTATCTTCGAATCATGGATTTAACTACGTTTATCGAGAGTAATAGTACTTTCTCCCTATCTCTCTTTCTGTAAATAATGAAATTTAATGTAAATACATGATATATATATATATTGTTTAGAGATTTCTAAGGTGTACATTATACAGGCTATTCTATTTGAGTTAACTATTTCGGACGATCTAAGGATGATTAATCAATATTTATCTTCGCAGGATACTTTATTATTATCATGATCGAACTTTTCTATAGGAACGTGTACATACGACAAATGAATCCGCAATATGTTTTCGTATTAATTTAAGTCTGAGCGTAAATCGAAGTAATCTATTTTTCGAATTGTTTCAATAGTTAGCCAATTGAGAGTAGCCTTTCAAAGCTATGTGATGCCCAATTTCCATCGAGTAATTTCGTCGATTGACCATTTTTAAATGCGCTTTTTCCGATCTTGTACGTGTGCGCTTATATCTGATTTATAATGAATATGTCATTGAAATGCTGTAGTATATTCTGATCCTTTGAAAACGATTCAATTCGCAATATCAATTTTATAGTTTTGGGAATGGTATATGTCATTATGAATTATTGAGAGGAAATTGGGTGATAAATATTCAAGAGTGTATCCATTACTCTATGAATTGATGTGAGAAAAATTAGAAGATTTTTCTAAAGCAATAATTTATTTGAGTTTTTTTGTAGAGAACTTTATGTATACGATCGTACTTCTTGTTTTTATAGTCTTCCTTGACTGAAATCTTGTTGATTATATAGTAGATTACTTAAAAGACATTGGGATAAGAAAATGTAAGAAATTGTATGGGATGGGATGTATAATTTTATTTTTTCGATGTCGATGGAAAATGGGCAAGAATATCAACTACGCACAACAGTGAAAGTGTAGATCATACATAATCCAACTTATTGTACATAATACACTATACATAATTATTCATTTAGGAAACATACGTCGTGTATGTAAGCAGAACGCAAAACAAACTATGTACATTGTAAAACCATTTATTATATGGATAGGATACAGATAGTATTTTCTGCTGTCAATTCTTCAACTAAGACTGTGATTTTTAAATATACTAATGGCTAGGTAGATACAATACATATTAATTGAATATGATAAAATAAAGAATACGAAAGAAAATATTCAAGACATGTGCATTATTTCAATTCATCATCCTTTCGTTTTTCAGAGTCATTTCCCGAGTTTTCTTATGTTTTACAGTTAGATCAAATGATTCCCGCTTATTCCCGTTGTAGCAGTACCTATAGTTCCAAATTTTCACCTGGGGGGACAGAAAGCTCAAAATCAAATTATTTCAATAAAAAATAAAATGACAAACATATGTTCTTGCTATACTAACTATATTTAAATGCTTAAATTAAATTCGAAACAATTGAAAACACTTCTGGATAAGAACGTATTTGAGTGAATTTTATTGAATGCTTTTACACAGGTAAATTAGCTCGCTTGCCTAACCTTCTTTTTAGCTATATTGGCGTCGAATTGAAAATAATAACTTGTTTTTGTATTTAAGTTGTCAGTGAACTACAATAATATCGTGTAAGGATGGAAGTTATTGAGCTTGTTTCGGATGATGAAGCATCTGTGGAGAAAACCAAGAAGAATAAAGATCCTCTGGCTTGTAACGTTAATTGCATCAACTTTCAATGTTCTTCTGGAGTGGATATGAAATTAGCATCGTCCTTTGCCTGTGTATTTTATGGAGTAAATATGAAGAAAAAGAAAAAGCGAATGATCTGTACAGAATGCTTCAATGCTGCATTGGAACATCAGAAGGTTTTAATTATCTGTTTTACGAAATAACATGAAACACAAATCGCTTATCCCCATTTTCATACTGTTTTTAGCAACTAGTAGCAGCTTTTTTGGATCACAAACCACTGTTAAAATGTAATTTTCCTGACCGTACGAACGAAGTAGAAATTTCTGATAGCGACGATTCGGATGATGAGAAAAGAAAAAGCACGTGCGACGAAGGTAAGAGTCAAACAACACTGCTTCAATTATAATACATATTATACATACATATTTTATGAGTCTTTGTGTTTCAGAAAAGTATTTGCCAGAAGAAATGGTTGAGACTATAGGAGAATTGTTAGACAGTACAGTAGACAGTATTTTTAAAAAATATGACATAGATTATCAAATTAAAGAGTCTCACAATATATTGAAAGATCAATGGAGTCGTATGGAAGGTATTGATTCACTATTCTTATGCTTACTTTGTTGATAAATCGAATCGTTCTTGTTTTTAACAGAAGAGAACAAAGCTTTGGACAAAACGGTAGAATCTTTAATGAGTACAATGGACACGTTACGCAATAGATTCTACGATGAATTCAAGCCACAGATTCAGATGCTCCAAGAGCTTCAGATAGACGATGGATGCATGAATAATACACTTCACCCATTAGTTGCGACTAAGAAAGTCACGCAAGTAAAAGTAGCTCCTTCAGTGGACAGTCAACCGGAAGTTTTACCAATTGAACAGGAGAACAGACAAATCGTAGTTATAGATTTACCACCGATTGGCCCACTGGTCAAAGTTCAGATAGAAGTAGATAGCATTGTTTATATTATGAAACATCCGCTCATGCCATGGATCAAAGGGAAGGTGCAAACCGTAGTATCAAAAACTCCTGTGCACTGTCGGGTTAAATTGTTACCGAAGAAATATAATTCTGTTGTCAAGTCGGTTTCCGGCAAGCAAATTGCAGCAGCTGTCGTTAGCCCGGTAATCATACCGATTGGCACTCGAGTAATTGCAATGTTTAAAGATATGAATTCGAGTAATTTTTATTGCGGTGTTATAGCAGAGCCACCGAAAGCCACTAATAAATATAGGTATGATTCCTCGATGAAATTCTTTAAATGATGTCTGGCAAATAAATATTAGACGTATTCTTTTAGATATTTGATATTCTTCGACGATGGGTATGCTCAATATGTCGAGCACAAACTCATTTATCTGGTCGCAGAATCTGCTAGCAAAGTTTGGGAAGATATACCGACTGAATCTCGAGAGTTTGTAAAGAAATATATCGAAATGTATCCAGAACGACCGATGGTGAAATTGCAGAGAGGGCAAGTAGTGAGGACGGAATGGAATGGGAAATGGTGGATAGCAAGAGTGGTTCAAGTTGATGCAAGTTTGGTACAGATGCACTTCGATGCAGATGGAAGAACAGAATGGATCTACAGAGGTTCTGCTAGATTAGGACCTTTATATGTCGAACTGTTAAAAGCCAATGCTAGACAACATGGACATCATGCGTCCGTCGGAACACCGAGTCGACATCGACTGCCTGTTGCATCCAATGTACGTTTAACACGTTCGAATCTCGTGAAAAATGATAAAATAATGAACATTTCATTGCCATTCCAGAAAAGTAATTTACCATATGTGGAATATACGTCGAATGTAGAACCTGAAGATGAAAGACTTCACGAAGAAGAGAAAGAAGAGAGTCCAGCGAGTGAAAGTATGCCTAGTGCACCGCAGCAATCGCGCGCCGTCGCTAGAAAAAGCACTACCAAAAGACAGCCTGTCCCGGATACGACTTCTTACAATCCTCTCGCAGAAACGAAACCTTCTCATAGCATAGTTGTAAGTGCCTTGAACATTCTTCAATCTTCACCGGTATACGTGAAACTTTGTTTCAGTACTATCAAACGCAGAATAAAATTCAGACAAAAAAGTTCGTTCCACATAAATGTGGTCCGCAATGCGTCGAAGGAATATCTTTCACACCCGACGATTTAAGAGGATATTCGCCTCTATCGATACCGTTACTTTGCGGATGGAACAGACAACTTTGTAAATATCCAAAAGGCAAAAAGATCACGTTATATCAAGCTCCGTGCGGTGTCAGATTACGAAATATGGAAGAATTGCATCAATACCTGCGGAGAACTGGAAGTCCGATGTCGGTCGACCTATTCGATTTCGATTACTGGGTGCACTGTTTAGCGGAGTTTGTTTTGGACAAGTGTTTCATCAACATAAAGGTAAGTGAAACTGATAAAATGTACGATAAGTTTATAGCTAATGCTCATTTCGCGTTTCAAGGATTTGAGCTATGGCGTAGAGAATGTTCCGATACCATGTGTAAACGAATTAGATCACACGCAACCTGATACTATAAGATACAGCACTCAAAGGGAACCAACGGAAGGCGTTAATCTCAATCTTGATCCGGACTTCTTGTGCAGCTGCGACTGCGAAGACGACTGTCAGGTACGCTTTATTTTATATCGATAAATAATTGCGAGATGATTAATGGAACATGCTTCAGGACAAGACTAAATGCCAGTGTTGGCAGTTAACGATACAAGGCGCTACTCTAGGTGGGCGAGTACCGAACACGGCTGTTGGTTACGTCTATAAACGTTTACCGGAGCCGGTCACCACTGGTATCTATGAATGTAATTCCAGATGTAAATGTGCTGTGAAAACTTGTTTGAATAGAGTAGTGCAACATCCGTTAACGTTGAAATTACAAGTGTTCAAAACCGCTCCCCGGGGTTGGGGTATACGATGTCTCAACGATATTCCGCTCGGATCGTTTATCTGTATATACGCTGGTAGATTGCTTACGGAACAGGTAAAATGCAATCGTTAGATTTTACATACGCGCGGCGGATGATATTAAAAATTTTCTTATTCTTAGGGAGCTAACGAAGGCGGTAAGAATTATGGGGACGAGTATCTGGCAGAGTTGGATTACGTAGAAGTGGTGGAAGGTATTAAAGAAGGTTACGAGAGCGACGTTCTTGAACCGGAAATGCCATTATCTACTCCGGAAGATAAAAATAAATTGCTCACCAGCGAGGATGAAGACACCTCAAAAACGAATGCAGATTCCGACGAAGATTTCAATATTAGTAAATACGTGAATTTCAACGTGGACTCTGCGGGACCTTCATCTATTAGGTAAATTGATAAGACTTCATTTATCAGCACCGCGTACTAATGAAAATGTAACGATGTAGAAAGAGATTGAGAAAGCGTAAGCGGGATGACGGTAATCAAGACGGATCTGAAGAGAATAGCGAGGATGGAAGCGGTATTAAGATTCCTGACAGTACTTCGAAGTCTACCAACGAGAGTCGATCGAACGAAGATGGAATTATTATGAGCGATGAAGAAGAAACTAGGGGCGGTAGACGTGAACCAAGCAGATTCGAACCAACGGTCGAGCCACCGCAGATCAACGAATCGAAATTCAAGTCTGTGCGGGATTTCTTTGGGGAGGATGAGGCTGTGTATATAATGGACGCGAAAACAACGGGTAACATCGGACGCTATTTAAACGTGAGTGGAACGGTTTATTAAATCATCCTTTGTCATTGTCATCTGTGTTGTACGAAGTATAATTATTCCAGCATTCGTGCGATCCGAACATTTTCGTGCAGAATGTGTTTGTCGATACGCATGACGTGCGATTCCCGTGGGTGGCGTTTTTCGCTTTAAATTACATAAGAGCAGGTCAGGAATTAACGTGGAATTATAGTTACGATGTTGGAAGTATACCAGGTAAAGTAATCATTTGTAAATGTGGTGCGTCTAATTGCAGAGGTCGACTTTTATAATGCGATGTAATTGAAATAATTGAATGTGTTCATTTTTTAAACGTGTCATTTGTGGTAAAAATGTATGTTTCATCCGTTATTGAGAAATATATCATTTTTTTCAATTACCCTTCTTTCGTATTTATTGTTCGTTAAAATGTTACAAGCTACTTTACAAAATAAAGTAGATTCAATAAACCTAGGAGCAGGATTACACTGCATTTTATAAACACATATCTAATGCATCTTCCTGAGATGTTCGATAATTACAATACATTCTTTATAACTACGAAGAACATAAAATTTTAGAAAAGATATATATATATTTTATGACTATCAAAGATACAGTCTTATAGCGTACGTTTATTAATTGACAATGAATAAATTAATTTTGGCATATAGGTCTTTGAGTAATACGCATAAGATCTGTCGAATAATAAATAAATGATAAATAATGGGTTTTTAATAAAAGTACAACGATATACTTAACAATGATGCATGGGCTTATTATTTTTGATTATTGTACACCTTTAAAACTTTGAAGATATTCTAGTTAATTAGTACCATAAAGATAGCTCTTTCATTTTCTTCCTATAATTTACACGTGGCTTTTTTAAAACTCGATTAAAATATATAGTATATCTTGAACGGAGTATTCTCGACATATATTACCGCAAGTCCTATGTCACAAAACTATGGGGTCGAAGCAAATTATAGGTTTCAGTAGGGGAGTATAAAAAAGAACGTATAAAAGAAATTTGTAACATCTATAAATTAATAACAAATGCTTAAAACGCGATGCTGCTTCTTAAAAATGTATCAAAATATCTTTCGCTATATAATGTTACATGCTTTAAAAATAAATTTGTTCCATTAGTACTTTTTCTCGCGAAACAATCTGTATGATATACTATTTGAAAGCTGAGAAATTGTATGTATTTCACGTTCCTAAGATAGTAACCATATAAGAATATGAGTTCATGATTATATGCTCCAGATGTGCAATATATTATTACAAAACTACATTCTTGTGTACCTATCTTTTTTTTGCTTTTTTTCTTTTAAATTGAAAGTGCATAAATATGATAGTGTAGTCATATGCAAGAAACAAAGAATAAAGCAATGGTGATACTCCTATGAGGAACATTAAAATTACTAAAATAACAAAATTATTGCTTCATGATTCGTTTGGCTTTGTGCTAGTGAAGTTTCAGCAATTGTTTGATCTCATCTTTCTCAGCAGCATCCAAATAACTCATTCCATCTGGCGTTAATCCATTTGGTTTAGCTCCCTTCTCTAATAATAATTTTACACAGTTTGTATGTCCTTCCCAAATTGCTGCTAACAACGTTGTTATCTCATGTTTATCTGTAGCCTACAAATCGATCTTTCTTCAATCATATCGATATCAGTTATGATAATTAATAAGTACATTTCTTAAATAGACTAATAAGATATTGTACAAATAATATCCATTGCACTTACATTCGGATTTGCACCCTTTTCTAGAAGATATCTAACTACTTCACTTTGGCCATAATCAGCTGCATAATGCAGCGGCGTCCTTCCATCTATCATTTGGTTAACATCAATATTCTATTAACAGGAACGAGATTAAATAATTTATTATACATTCATTTGTAAAATGTATATACGACGTTCTAATTGGGTAACTAGAATCTTTATTAATCTGTGAAAAACTATCGCATAATAAAATGTTTCGAAGATGAAGTGTTAAATTTCAAGAGAAGATAACATTATGACAGTTGTGATTAGCAGTAATCAAAAGATTAAGATAAATGGGAAATATATTCGTATATTTGCCTTCTTCTCTACGATATCCCGCACTTGCTCCAGATCTCCGTTCTTTATTCCCCACACGAGTTCACTCATTTTCGTTGTACGTTGTTGAAAGAATTTTTAATGCAACAGACAACCTGTCAGTTCGCTTATCCTAATCAGTTTACGCTCGCTCTCTCACGTCCATTAAAATAATTTTACTGGAAGTGGAACACTATTTCCGAGTTACCAACATACGCAATAATAAAACCGGGCCTCTATATCGTATACGCGAACAACACAAAATGATCAGAAAATTATCAGCTGGATTCAAATATATCCACAAGCAGTGATTCGACCAGAGTCAATTAATTTATAAGTTCCTGTTTGTTTAAATATAACTAACGCGAGCAGTGAGCGACTCTTGGTCATTCATGCTCTTATTTGACTTATGTATACCTCGTCTATAATAGTGAGCAATAGTGAGCAACACGATTCTCAACGATTCTGTGTGCGGTCCGTGCGGTCTACTAACAATAACCTTTACGTTCTATATTCTCCCAGTATTTAAAATCACATGCTTGTTAAAAAAAACGACGGACGAAGAGAATTAAATTATTACATTCATATAAAATTTATATCTAACATCGTGACAACACAGTATCGTATGCGATCACACGTGGATCTATAAGTATTGTGATTCTATAGATCATACTGTTTGTTTTTCTCGACAGTCTTATTAAAAATTAAGAAGAAAAATGGTCTTTCTAACTGCACAATTATTTGCGAGGAGCCGCGGTCCCGATGAATTTTGGCGAAAACGGCAAATATTTAAACTCGCTGCAGTAAATATAACTTGTTTGATTAAATACACGTGAAAGTATTTTCGCACACAATAAAAAGATCGTTTACTTTCGTCTTTAGCGTTTTATTGGGAGGAGAAGGAATTGTTATAGTTTGAGTATTAGAGCTGTACACAGAGCGCTATTAAAGACAACCAGAGGTAGACAACTAAAGAAAATGGATATGAGAGAGGTAGGCCACATACAGGAATTACAGTATTCTCTATGCTATTACATAATTAAATTCGTTGTGTAGCTTTGGGAAACTAGACTGGATGCTGCCAGCAATGAACATGGTATCAACATGAATATACTAAGGGAAGGATTAAATAGATGCAACATTTTACTTGACCGTAAAACATTATCAACTTTGGCTGCTTGGGAACCGAGAACTTTTAAATCTTTGTGCGACATTGCTTGCGCAAAGGCAATAATGGGGGGCGTTAAAGGAGTTTCTAAGAAATCTATTCCTGAAACTGTTATAGTCAATGGATTAGCCGATGAAGTAGATTGAACAAATAATAAAATAAATGATAGAGCTTACATTTTGTTATAACATTTATTTTGTCAAGGTTCAATATATATTTACAGACAGACAGTACATATGTATCTATTCTGTGCGACAATGAAACTGACAAAAGAATAAAATATACAATTCACTGCTCATCACAAGATTAATCTCTCACTGCAGCGACATGCGGTAAATTCATCTCTATATGAACAACAAGAAAATATAGGAATTAATCTGTTTGTAGTACCTTTCAGAATATACACGTTGAAGTGTATATATCAATAAATGTATAACATTTGTGCATAAAGTTAATAGTTAATCTCACTGCTTGGCATTAACGATCTTAACAAAGTCAGGTTTCAAGGACGCTCCTCCTACTAAGAACCCATCTATATCTTTTTCCTTTGCCAAGTCTTTCGCGTTATCAGCTGTTACTGAGCCTCCGTAAATGATTTGAACAGTCTCTGAGACAGCGGAATTAACATTTTTAGAGAACCACTCTCTCAGTTTCTCATGAACCTCTTGAGCCTGTTGAGGCGTGGCTGTTTTGCCTGTCCCTATTGCCCAAACTGGTTCATAAGCAACGACCACATTGTCCCATGACTTGATTTTATCGGCAATAGCTTTCGTCTGTCTAAAGACTACTTCCTCTGTTTTACCAGCTTCTCTCTCTTCCAACTTTTCTCCGATACAGGCAATCACCTGTGTGTTAATAAGAAATGAAAGTTCGCCAGATTAATTTCATTATTGATCACTATTAGTCGAACCTTCACTCCAGTTTCTAAAGCATGAGCCACTTTCTCCGCGACCAGTTCATCCGTTTCACCGAAGACATTTCTACGCTCGGAATGGCCCAGAATAACCCAAGGAATTCCGTTGTCTTTAAGCATAGCAGGGCTTATCTCTCCGGTAAATGCTCCTTTGGCAACCTTGTACGAATTTTGTGCAGCAATACTGACATTGCAAGGTAGTATGCCTTGAGCATACGTCAAGTATATCGATGGCACACCAACGACGACCTCTGATGCAAATGTGTTATTAGCACTCCGACAAAGCTTGAAATCAATTGTTGTATCGTTTAATTGAAAAACGTACCGACGTTCGGATCAAGCGGACCGGTTTTTAAGAATGCAACGATACCGTCTATCTCACTTTTGGTACCGTTCATTTTCCAATTGCCACCAACGAAGAATTTCCGACCCATGGTTTTACAATCTGATAAGCACCGACTATCGATTCTAATTAATCCGCAAGTAGAGTACGAATCTAAAACAGATTCTTAAACTGCTCTTTCGACCTTCAACGATGCAGAAGGTGATCTCAGTCACGTTCTCCCCTTCCCAGGAGTGGATCAAGCATGAAGTAACGTCGTTTTATGAATCCCCACTACACATTTTCTCCCTTCTCTCCCTTCAACCTTTATTCTTTGAAGCCCTGATCATCAATAGCAACATACTTGTGAAAATACTTCAGCACGTGTGAAACTCAAATTACTCTTATGTTTCTTAATTCTTGAAATCTAATATTTCATTAATAAAAAAGTTATTCAGTTTTATCATCACAGGATAGATACCTATTACCATATGTATAAATAATTGTCTCAGAACGTTGGAATAGGTTTTTAACCTGTCAGAAGTAGGTAAGTACAATGTAACGTGCAAAGTGAATATTTCACATGATTTAAAATCTCAGTAACACATCGTGTAACACTTTTGTAGTCTATTTGGTAAATGAAAACGTACTTGTAGTTATATAATTATTAGTTATAGTTAAATAAAATAAGTACTTACTGTACTTGAGCTTGTTGATTACGATGCTTCTCTGACATAAATTTACAATATTTTTGCGGAGAATTAAATTAAATACCATGTTATTAAAAATTGTTGGCACACATCTTTCGAACACATAGGGTTTCGGTCATTTGTTTAATTTAACACACATCAGAAATAGGTGCAGGTCGTCCGTGAAGTTGGATAAGAAAGACTATTACGCGTATGCTCTGCGTATTTTGTTTAAACTGATTTGTATATGTTTCCATAAGGAGATTATTAATTGGTACTTTCTAATATTTTTTCTATGTATACTGTTTTAAGATATTTACATGCACTTGTTCACGTTGAGTTATTCTCATTATAATTGTGATTCAACATGTTTGAAAACTCGAATTTCAACATGGATAAATTTGTACATAAATTTATTCAAAATTTAAGTCTGACGACCGAATCTCGTGTTTATAGAAAGTTTAGCAAAATCACGTTTTCGAGACTTGTGGATAAACCTCACAGAATCAAACAGTTACTGTTACATTCTACGGAAAAGATGAAAGAAATTAGCATGCCTCAAAATTTGGATTTATCGAACGAAAAACATATAGAGTATTTTATGGAGAAATATACTGGACTCTGTGATAAATTTACTTATTTGAATAATTCGAGGATATTGGATTCACACTTGAGAAATATCAATATGAAAATTCTTCAAAAGATTAAGATAAAGAAGAGACACAATGAAGGAGTAAAAAAGGGAGAATTCAAAACATCTAACAGAAAGTTAAGAATAAACGTATCAAGTAAACTGAGCAATTTAAAGAAAAATTTATCATCCTCCGTGGTCTACAGAGAAAAATGTAACAATGTTCACAATTGTGAAGAGGATGCTCCCAGAACAAGTCCCAAGCTCGTTTCTCATACTCCAACATTTAATAATTTCAAACATGGTAACATCTTAGAAATAAACACGGAAGAAAAAAGTGTTAAACACGATTTGGTAAATGATATTATAAACGTAGCGAAATTGGAAATAGAAATGACTGAAAAATTTTTATCATTCTGTATAAGAGATAAAGAGTTCATAAAAAAAAATGTGCAAGTGACGCTACATATAGAAAAGGTTGCACACTTCTGCCTATCTTTAATTTAGTTAAATGTACCGTATTTTATCCAGTGTTTATTGTGTAGAATCTAAAACGCGATCCAAACGCAAGGGAACAGGTAGAATACAATCAAGTGCTTTGTCATCATGCGATTTTATGTTTGATCGAGCCAAGTAAAAAGGGTGTAGTTTTAATGGAAGATGATTTGTCTGTAGTTGTACAGAAATATTTGTCCCATGGATACAAATATCATTTTGAATTTCAAAGGTATCTTGATCAGTAGCGAAGTTAACATACGTGTATAAATACGAGGAACTTTCATTTTAGAAATACAAGGGACTGCTATACGGCTTTGCTTATTTTAAGTCGATGGGCTAAAGTTTTAGTCAGACATACCAACACTACCTTGATGCACACGATTTGTGGCATATTGGGATGCGATGCACAAAACATACTAGTTATGTATAATCCAGAAGGAAAATGATTGAACGCTGAATGTATCATGATAATAAAAGATCTTTCCACGTGATCCATTACACTAAGTGCATGTAAATTCTTTCAAGCAAGAACAATTGAACACATAAGCGCTTACTTAATGAACGTTTAAATAACTTGCTCACACTTGAAGTATAGATTAATACGTTGACAGTTAATTCTAATTGCTTAATTTATGTTTTGTTTGAAGTGAGATGAAAAATGGTTAGCGAAGAAGTAGTAGAGTTCAATAAAAAGCAACCGGTATTCAAAAATCCAGCTTTTCAACAAAAGTTTCGGTTGACCACTACCACTGGGAAAAAACGAACTTGGCGCTCATTAAAACAAGTCTTGGCTCAAGAACGTGCGTTACCGTGGCCGTCGGAAGTAGTGCATTGTACGAAATTATTTGATTAAACTTTAAATCTCAATGTTAAGTATTTTCCAATATAATTGACAAACGCAAATTTCAGATAGCTCTATTAATGCACCGCCAAGCTTCAGACCAGCGAAAAAGTATTCGGATATTTCTGGATTGTCCGTAAGTGATCCATTACTCTTCGAATTACAATTGGTCGCATTATTAAAGTATAAATTGATGTATATCAATAACATTTATTTTACAGGCACGATATACAGATCCACAGACTAAGTTATACTATGCAACTGCAGAAGAATTTGCAACAGTCCGAAGTCTACCGATGGATATAACTGCTGGATACTTAGCATTGCGCGGCGCTTCCAGTATAGTTGGATAGATGAGAGAAAGATTCATTCTCTGGCGTTATTCTGTGAAACGTTCAAACGACACGTAACATCGACAGTTTGTTCAATAATTTTTTTATTTATCATACTTATGATAGAGAAGAACGAATTGATTATAATTTGGGAAATTATTTATGGTGTAAACAGAAAATAAAATAACAGCAAGTTTTTTGATAAAGAACAAAATAAAATTGTTTGCACTGACATGGATCTACTCTCTCTGAATGATTAAATACACAGCATGATGTAAAAATTCATCATAAACAGGATTCCCTAAAATAAACAGATCCACAAATAATTTAATTCCATTTCATTGTTTTCATCGTCTTCGTATTATACACAATTAATCGGTATTAAAAAAAGCTTGTTGATCGTAACTTAATGGACTATGAGCTAAAGAATGATGGAGAATCTTTTTAAGAAGTATATTATGTACTGGCTTTCCTCTCGATTACTGTAGTCATTTTTTTTTAAGATGACAGTTTCTCGTGCACCCTTACTGGTTAGCCTGCTACTGCAATAAGGGCCATTATCGAATTTGCAAAACTTATTTGCAATTTAAAATCCAAATAACATGGCCTATTAAAATATTGCCTGATGGTGCACTATTTTTAGGTTGCCATTTGTTTTTACATGATTTATTTTCTTTTTCGTTAATGAAGATTATTTTAAAGTAGCGTCGAAATTTTTTCATTCAAGCAAGTCGGGTAAATCGTCGTAGTCGCTATCCATTTCCTCTCCCTCTCCACCATCGTCTAAATCGTCAAAGTTTGGTTTACTGTCTCCTGACCCTCCTAGACCACCCATCTGTCTCATCATCTGCAATCATCGATGTAAGTATAAATTACTGTATTAATCTTTTAAAAGAAGTATTAGTTTTACGAAAATGTTGCCTCACATCTTCCAAATCTTGACCGGCTCCTTCTATACCGTCTTCATCATCGCTCTCATCCTCATCTGTCCATTTGTTAAAATCACTTTTTAACCAATGAGCTTTCGTTTTGTCTTTTGTTAATCTTGGCCAATATGGGCCTTCTTCTTTTTTATAAAGTATTAATTCTATAGTCCTCCCTTTTAAATTCTTAACTGTTCTGTTTACGAGGATCTCTCCGTACAAGTCAATTGTGACCTCGTGCATTTTATGTTCCGTACCACCTACTCCTTTAAAATATATCATTTGTGGTTCAATGTTAAGAACAGGATCTTTGCAGTCTTCTAGACAGATGGTAACAAATAAAATGCCTCTCCTTTGTGCCCATATTACTGGTGGGGGAGGTAATCTAAAAAATATTTAAATAATTGATTATCCCAAACTGTAGTATATAAAAGTTATATGGCAGTGTATAGATAAAGTTGAATCAAGAGGATCACATGGTAAAAATAATACATTGATCGCTATTTATTCTCTATTATAGGGTATATAATATATATGTGATATCAAATCTATTTACAGTAGTACAAGGAACAAAATTAAACGGTAATTGCAATTCTTACACAATCATTGTCTAAAAATTTAAGAGACAATTTACTGAAACGTGATTTGGAGATTAGATAAATGCGAGATGCATATAATCATATTACCTGTACATGATTGTAAATGTAAGAGGCATGCACGGATAAAGGTTAGGTAATGAATGCTGAAAGTTTCTCAAAAAATCGCTAGTCACTACAAACGAAATGAGATTATTTTCAGTGGACCATCGAGAGAAACGAGAATTTCGTATTGTTGAATATGTTTCAAATGAGCCGGTACAATGTTTTTATTTGTTCTACATTAAGTATATCGATACGATGGTTATTTAGAAATGAAAATAGCTATTGAAAACTCGTGCTCCGAAATCAGATTACACGGTGCACGAATCGTACCAAAAAGAGATGAAAATTCATCGTCAGCGAGGCGATTATCGTCGGTCATCAACGAAAAGGGATGGATCATAAATCGAGGGTTGATAAAAAATAGGATAAAGCATAGTTTCTTGTGATTCTTTTCCAGAAATTTCGAGAATCAATAAAATTGTCCCACAACATGGCGGTGTTTCGAAAGCCATGAAGGGACGTTACAGCCTCGTCAACGAAGATAAATCGCTTTCCTCGCGATAACATCGTGCAAAGAGAATTTCAGAACCGAATGATGCGGCCGTATGAAATGATACGTGAATTTTTCTGTACTTACTGGACTTCTTGGGTCATATTTCCCGAGCTTCGTTCCGTGAGAAGCAAACAAACACAGAGCACTTACGTATCGCGCCGTAGCCAGCCCTGATTCGAGAGTGTTTCGAGATTCAACTATCGATCAAACAAGATGGCGGTCGATCTTTCCTGTTTCCGGAAATCGAACTTTTGAAAATTTCATGTGCGCTTATATTCTTAATTTAACCATATTTAATAAAATCTTCATTTAATTACTTACTAAATTGTTACTTACTCCATGCAATTTGTAGTAGTCATTTGGTTCATCACTATACTATATACGTACACTTCCTTTTATCTTAAATTCATTAGAATATAACTTACGTGCAATTCTCGTATAAATATAATATTTTGACAAATAGATTAAATCGAAGATTAAAAAACAGGGGGCATCGGAACGGGTAATGTTTTAACTTAAGAATAATGTACATAAAAAGATGATGAGAAGAGGGGAAAGAAAGGAAGAAAAACAGGGAGAGGGAGAGCGAGAGAGAAAGAAGGGAAAAAGAGAGAGCCTTCGTGTTGTTAGATTGTAGGTCATCGTTGCAGAAGGTGGGGAGGATACCAGTACTACCTTTTCTTGCCGTAACCGTGGCCATAAACTAACAGGACGTACACACGGTGTGTATATGGTGTATCGGTGTTTCTTTCGCAGCTTCGACCGACTCGTCCCGTTCGTTAGTCACTGTTAGTCACGAAGCTGGCTCGTTTCCGCGTAAAACGTGCCGGTAATCGCGAATAACCGTCTCACTCCCGATACGTTTTCGCGTTTTCAATTATATATCCCTCGGCAACTTTCGTTCCGGGTAGTTTCTATTCGCGTCAATTGGTTTCCCTTAAACCGTAATAAAAATACATATTGACATGAGCGCGTGCGCGCGTGTACCTCAACAGCAACTGTCAATGGATAATCTTGAGGAGTTGCAGTCGAAATAACGGGCGATCGACGATGAAACCGTGAGTTTACTTTAGCGGTCCGTGCAACTTGTTGCTTCGGAACTAAACGCCATGTCGACCAGCTCGATTTTTTACAAGGATAAGTTTGCGGTGAGTGACAACAAATTTCTATTTGCATGTATAATGATAAGCGCTGTCGCTCTGTCCAGAGCGAATCTTGAGAAGTTCGACTAGATTTCGGGAGAGTTTCTCTCCACACACGTGAACACGTTTTCTCGTTTGCCGTGCATCGTTAACTCGACGCTGGCGATGCAAAATTAACCACGTTATTCATTTGCGTTTACGCTTTAACTTAGCAGATCGGACACACGTTTAATCGCATCGAATGCATCCTTCCGTGAGCTAGGAGAAAAAAAATGTTAATTCGGTCGTGCCTACACTATGTATAACGATGACGCGTATTGTCTCATCATGTAGTAATTACAATTACGTAGACATTAACGATTGGTTACGCAGTTATCGTCAGAATATATATCGTGTTTCATGGGATGGAAAAAAAGAAGGAAAGGGTGCGAGGTAAACTAAAAAAGGAGATTCGTTACAAGATTTCATCAGTGGTATAAACATTGACTTGCACCGTTTTACGAAATTCGTTCTCCCACCGTTCGATTCTGGATCGGACGCATAAAAGCTTCTCGAGCGGAATGGTGCGTTTCAAAGTCGATGACCGCGATGTTACCTTTCCGTTTCCATATAAAGACAAACAAAATCATTTCAATTTCAAGATTCTCCATGTACGTAAGGGGGCTTTAATTGCGGTGGCTTCTTTCGTGACTCCGAATAAGCGAAACGAAGACGATCAGCGAGCAACGGCATTGAAGTTTAATTGCCGAGTGAACGTTAAATCGCGTTGTTCCAGTTATCCTTATCCTTGATTGTATTTAATCTTATCGCACTCGGTTTATCTCGCTTATAGGCGAGACAACACGATGAAACGATTTCGTCGTTTCAAACTGCGTATCAAAGAACTCACGTGTATACCAAAGTTTTTATATGCTAAATGCAATTCGTATGATCACTGACAGTGGAGAAAGTGATAGTTGGTTGAATGTGAAAATTCAAACGATTCTCGTCGGCGATGTGGTGAACAGAGAAAGAGAGAGACAGAGAGAAAGACAGAGATCGTATAAACAAAACTTTTGCACACACCTATTTCGTTACGTAATTAGCAATCGAAGGAAATAAGAAGGCGGGTGCTGGAGAGAGAATAAAAAAGATGCAATGTCTGTACAGTTACGGTGTGCATTTGTTTAGGAGGAATAAAGAGAGAAAGGTAAAATGAGGAGAAGGGGAGTGTCTGGGATAAGAAGCAGGAATAAATCATCGAGAAACGGTAGAAGAGGTTGTGGGTTCTTTCGCGTGGCGTAGGGCATTCGCGTTTCGAAAGAAGAAGGTGGCCGGAGGAACCCTCGGGGGTGAAAGTCTTACGTCAGAGACATGCATCTTATTACGCTGGACAACTGTGCAATTCACGCAACGACACTCCCACTGTCTACAAAATATTTCCATGAACTTCTTTCTCCGGGCCTATTCAATCGTTTCCCATTTCAGCTTACGTATCGAAGATCAGTAGATTTCGTTGCTCGATCGTGAATTTCATTACACTTGTATTAATAAAAATAAATACATATATTTCAGATTGTACTTCGGCATTGAGAATCGTTTTAAACACGCAGGGCAGAGGAGAGCCGCGTTACTCTTACTATTACGTAGTTCGCAACCCGCAACTCGAGTGGCCCGTGAAAGAACCTCGTTCCGGTTGACGAGTCGTTTCCGGTTGATTCTCGTCGCCATATCATTACTAGACACCGCTATATGGTGAACTCGTATCGATTCCTTTACACGAAACGCGTATCAAAGCTGATTAGATTTCAGAGTTACATGATTCATAACAATCACTTGTTGCTCCATCTTTCGATTTGCTTAGTGATATTCGAAAATAGGAAGTTTCGTTGTTCTATAGCTGTTATTCTTACCGTAAAAATGAGAGGCGCGAAAAGAGCGTACGAGAATCAAGAAGACAACGAAATTCGTTACGTCGTTCGAGCCATTACATTCCGTTTCGTGACACACCCATGAGAAAATGCGTAACCAGAATTAGTAAGCTATCATTACGAACAGAACGAGCAGTCATAGTTTTTCATATTCTTGTACGAAAGCTAGCTAACCGAAGTAAAAAGGAAATTCACGTACGAGCCGTATTATTGGTTTGTTACATCTTGCATCGTGCTTTCCAACGGAATTAATCGTTTTCCCTTTACTCGGTTGATTGCGCTGTTAAAATCTAATTAGCATTCACCAACGGCTTTACGACAGTGCGTAGATAACGCAAAAGAGGAAATAATTGTCCCTGTTCTTCAATTAGATATCGAAATTTAGATTGATGACGATATACTTAAGAATCCGTAAGATGTTTTACTCGAATTTACTTAATAGCTTTGTCATATTTGCGATCGCGATTGCGGGGTATCACGAGATTGTAGTCATGTTTAAGATTAGGCAATTGGGTCACTGTGTTTTCTGTAGAAAACACAATGAATCTGATACACAAAAATGTGCTTTCACGATGAATGGACGTTATTTATCAGTAGAGTTTCGTGCGTGCTCGAACCTAGACACGCGTTTCGCTTCTCCGTTTTTCGATCTTCCTCAAGCGTAGAATAGGTCATTATTAGGAAAGAATAAAAGTGTGACAAAGTGGCGAGGACGAACATCGTACGTAGGAGGCAGTGATGCAACGACCACGTTTATCTGCTACTGTTTCTTTCTTCGCGATGAGTTATTTAAATACTACGGCTATATAAATGGAGTGCAAAAGAAAGAAGAATAACACCCATAGGATGGTTCCTAAATATCGGTGGTTCTCCCGTGCCAAGCGATGTTTTACTGTAAGTAACGTCCAAGTTGTATCAACGATAAGTGTCCGGATTTACCGGATATGAAACACATGTTAAAATTCACAACGCCGCAGCGTCGTAGGAACGTCAGTCGGTTCTTTTTGGAACGTTCGAAGAATACATAAATTATTCGACGCGTAGGTTGTTTAATTGCTGCTCGCAGACGGCTAGACAAATTTTTCTTGATAAGCGCAACGCGGTAAAACGATAACAATGATTTTATTAGGTCTTTTTATAGTGATACCACCTTGATGAATATTCATCTGTAATATTTACGCTGTCCTGTCAAGATAATAATCGGACCCAATTCAATTATTTATTTATAAATAAGAAGATTAAACCGTTAAAAAGAAAGGCATTCGCGTCGCGGTTAATCGACGTGGTTCAAGTGCAAACGATGCAAAAAGAGAAAACTGCTACATTTTCCGTAACGGGAAACACTGGGTCAACCAGGTTTATATACGTGTATCTGGTATACGGTACATGCGTAACAGCCGCGCGACGGCAAGGGCCCGTTTACTTCCGTTCTGCCTTTTACTTGTTTTCTATTCCGTTTTCCCTCGTCGAGCTTTTTCTTCGACCACTTCGGTCTTCCACCCTCCAGTCGCAAGGCTTCCCATAACGAAATCGCGTTTCGAGTTTCAACTCTTCAATCCTTTTAACTACTTCCCACGTTTATTTATTATTCATTGATAATCTGCATAATGAGTGAGTCAGTAAGAAATACCACTTAATGATTGTATTAAAACTTATTATGTAGGAATTTTATTGTACTCCAAGTTTGAAATTAAATATAACAATTCTTAAGTTGAAACTCCAGGACTTTATTAGACAATTGTAGCTCTGCACGCAAGCACTTCAGAAATCTGCCTCACTGTAGAATTTTGGTTGGCCTTGTAACTAGTCTTTGTGAGTGATCGAAGTCTAATGGCCAATACAGGAGGGAAATAAGAATACTAGAGAGGCGAGTAGATAGGAACAGAGGTCAAGATGAGTAAGAATGTGTTTTCTTATTGTTAGATAGATTTAGAATGTTTGTCGTTAAGTAAACTGTGTCAATAGTAATGAATTAATTCGTCATGCAACAATTTATTACATGATGCGATTCGTGCTTATATTTTAATGAATTAAAATGTGCTTCTGCCAGGATAATGAAATCAATGACTAGTGGCTAATTTTAAATGCTATTTTACTGTCTAGATTAAGCTAGCTCTAGTTAAATAGCGTCGAACCTGAAGGCCGAACGGTCTCTGAGAAATCGAATCCGTCTATCGAAATTGCAACTTCATTTTTATGCGGAGCAGGAGATAAGAGTTATCGCTATCGGTAGGGTCTGTAGTAGGGACTGTATTCTATGGCTCGTAATTTTGAACGAAAAGATACGCGACGAAATGATTTACGGCAAGCGTAAAGCAACATGAATATTTCATCCGTATACGAAGTTCTATATCAATCTATGTAACATTTTCTGTATCTTTCTACGTAACTCTGTACCTCGTCGACTTCAGTCTGGAAAATAAAGAAGAGACGAAAGTGGATAAATTAAAATTATATAATGTATCAAGGATTGAAGGAAGTTCATTTTTCAAACTGACACTCCGGTTCCATTTTACATAAAAATCCATAGTCCGCTAATTACAAGTACATAAGATTCGATAGGAGAAAAACCGGTCGCAGAAGTAGTTAGAGTCGTGGAAACTGGGCAGCGGCGTTTATCCGGATAATGCAGCACGTGTGTAGCATGTTTCGGGACACGTTTGAGCCCAATCTAAATATAAGCAGAGCGAGCAAAAAAAAAACTGAACCTCTCCCGCCTAGAAACTTGCGTTACCCGCTCGAATAATCTGCATCCGCGTACTATGCTCGCGCCCGCGTTCGCGTTCGTTTCGGACCCCGGCTGCCTATTATGTGCCTACGGGTGTTCGCTCGCGCTTCTCTCTTTCCGTTAGCAAACGCGTGCGTCGCGCGTTACGACCGATCGTGTTAACCGTGTCCTCCTCCAGCAAGGAATATAGACTGTATTGCGTCGCTTCCTTAGAATCGCGTAGTGTGTGCTCTGCCAGTGCTATTCTTCTGTTCGCTAATTATTCTCGCAAAGACTCGAGCGTCGTTAGAACGTCTGTGGAACCGTTCGCCGTTAGCAGAAGACGCCGTTTGCGTTTCGATCGTCGATAGTTTATGCTCGACGAACTCGCGACAAAAAGTAATGATTTGCTCGTTTATGCAAGCCACCACGTGATCCAACCAGTCACTGTTTTTCCCGGATCGTTGCACAAAGATCGTATATTATGCACAGTTGTTTGTTCGCAACCGCGTTTCGCATTGCAAGTGTTCCAAGGTGCGAATACCAATTATCTAGCGTCGGTTTCGTTTGGTCAGAGATTTAAGTATTTAATTTTAGCTTGTAAAGAGATGAAATTTTGCGCGCTTTATCGTCGCGGTACCACCGCACCGGTGCGTTGCACCATGCAACGCGCTGTTCGCTCGGTTGTGTAATATACGTACGTGTGTACGCAACGTAATACGGATATAATTGTTCGGCGACGTTGTATAATCCAACTTCCAGAGTGAATCCAGTAGTGATCGAGACGTCGCCGCGGGAACTCGGTCGTCCTCCTAAATCGTGTTTCTGAACAGAGTTAACAGACTGGAGAATCGATCAGTTCGAGTCAGTGGTCAACGCAGTGGCTGACGCGTTCCATCGATCCACGATTCCTAAACATTTCCATTGAATTCTTGTATCATGTATCGCTGCGCGAGTGTCGCCTCGTCATTTACTTATTTCATTAATTGTGCCATCGTATGTTTCGCACGTATTATTACGGATCGGGCCAGATTCCGCGAATTTTTCGGTGTATTTCCATAACGGGAAACAGTGCGTGTATTCCGAGGATTTTAGAGATTTGTTAGGTGCATGCAGGTTGATAACGATACCGTGGTTTCTATATTTAAGCGAGGACGCTTGAAAAAAGTGCTTCGTCGATAATATATACGGCCGGTGACAACGCTTACTCAGGCTCGGAAGTGCGAAACAATTCGAGTTAGTAACGAGTACGTGTACTGTCGAGACGAGGTCACTGGCTGGAAGAACGATCCCGCGACGTCCTAAAAGCTAAACGATAAACGTTTACGTAATCTGTGCCAAGTAAAACTAGCGTTAACAGTCGACACCTGCTATCGAATCTGAGCCGTAACGAAGTTATTACTATTCTGTTATCCGATACTCGCCGCGGTAACTTAACGAAAACGAAGAAACCGGTGCTCGTGCACTGGGAATGTGCCAAACATTCCCGAGGAGTCCGCGATTCGAGCTTCATCGATTTCAAGCGTAATCAAAACATTTGGAAGTTGAACTTACGAACAAGAGTCGTTCGACGAATCGATTTCAAACGCTTTGTTTCCTTCGGTGGAGAACGATGGGAAAACGAGTGAACGTAATGTGGAATCTTGACAACGACGAATAATAATTTCACGGTGCTCGATCGAGGGATACCATGAAGAAAGTGTATCGGGTAACTGTCGATTTGTGAAGAAGAAATGGAGGAAGCGAAGCACGCGTGGGCTTCCTTGAAGTCCGGTAGGAAATTATCGAACGGTAACTCTACTGCAGTTTGGTACGACGTTCCCGCGCCGGTGATAATACACTGTCACGAGTTTCCTGATTCTACGGCCGACGTTAGTAAAATCGAGGAGGCAACTTCCGTCTCGATCACTGAGGTCGACGCCGATTCGAATCCTAAAAACCAAGAGGATCAAGTTAGCAAGCGACATAGGAACACTGTAGAATTAACGGCAATCGCATCGGTCAGCACTGACGAGGACGGCGTGCCGCAGATCAGCTTCAGTTTCTTGCAAACGGATGAGAAACGCACGGAAGAAAATGGTAGAGCTTCGGTTCAGAGCGAGCTATACGATTTTCCAAAGAACCCGTATGCTTCCAATGAAGAAATTGAAAGCGAGAAAGTGGAAACCGAACGGGAAGCGGATGCAGACGGAGCGCAAGGAAAAATTGAAGAGAATAAACCTGAGAATGTAGAAGAAGGAGAAAAGAGCGAAGGAACGACACCGGTTGAATCGAACGTGTATTCGAATGTTGACGCAACTGGGAAAAACAATAGAGCTCGTCGGTCGACGAGTTCGTTCAAGCATGGAAAGAAGAGCTGCGGGAAATCGGAAAGCGACGCTGGTATTGCCTCGATGTCCGGTTCTTATTCGGATCCCGAGTGCTCGAACATTGATGCTCTTTCGGTCTCGAAAGTTTTCCGCCGAAACTCACGCGGGCGGTACTCGAAGGTACAATATGTATACTTGGTTTACAAGTTTTAGGACACGTTATAAATTAAATGAGATATTTTAAAATACAGACGAGAATTGTTTATATCATTTGAAATTATTCAGGATTTTGCGTATAACAAATATTAATAGTATAAATGTAATTGCGTATGATTTACTAGATGATTACAACTGTATGATGTATTATATTTGAAGATGTCCTAAGACTTGTAAACAGTAGCTACGTCGAGATATATGGGGTGTATGAAATATCGTAGCATTCGCGAGCTATACCGTAGCTAGATCCTAAAATTGCAGAAACACCGGCTGGGGAAAGCATGGGAGAAAATGCGAAGCTGGCTACGCGACGAAACCTCTAAGATCAACGAGGTCGTGAACAAGCACGCGAGGTTGCAAGCGGTTGGCGCTCTCGCCGGAGAATCGCGTAGCCTGACGATGAACCTTGCCAAGAGTAACAGCGCTTCCTACGATCTGACCAAGGCGAGCCCTCAGGAGACAGGGTCGATCACTAGGGTCGAGGAATTCGGATTGAGCACCGCCTCCTCTCCCACGAAAGAGGCTCCCGAGACCTTGACCTTTGACGTAGACGTAAACGCGAACAAACCTTCCAATAATAATTTGAGGAAAACGATTGCGAGCTCGGAAATGGTCTTGAATCACCTGGAGGAGAGCGAGGCAAGGATTGGTCCAGTCTCGTTCAGTATGGATAAACTGTGCTCAGATACGGAAAACGAGGAGACGGAGAATAGAGAGATCAGGGATCTCGGTCGTAAGCCCGCGCCCGGTCTAATTAAGAGAAGAATGCTAGGGTCGATCAGAGGGTTAATGGCCTCAACTCATCTGGCCCACGTTCGCGAGACCGAAGAGGTACATACGCTTAACTCTATTTCATTCATCTGTTCGTCTGTGACGCGACTGACGATCCTTTCTCACGGATGAGAACGAGCAAAATTTGTTTCGACTTACAATTAATATACGTTACGAAATTCTATTTATTTTATTCGGAATTATCTGCTAGCTGATAGAAACGTTGAGAACGAAAGCACGCGACCAGCGATTGGCAATTAGCTGTACAATCTCGAACGTAATAAGTACTTATACTTACGATCGGACGATTGTAATGTAAGCGGTGTAAATATCGAAGAAGCGATCGAAAGGAGGAAAGTGTGGGAAAGTTCTGCGGAGAAAATATGACCGAGCTCGTTCCTTTCTGCTCGTATCTCGTACCTAACGCGTTCTCAATCTCGCAGGTAACCGCTGTTTATTTTACAGTCGAACGACACCGAGTCCGAAACTCGAATCTCTAGTCCTGCTCTCCTATGCTCTTCACGTTCTGCTTTGTAGTCCGTGGTCTCGAAACTCGTGTAAAGCGCGATAGGTATGCAGCCGCGAGCATACTTTCCGCGAAAGTAATCGTGCGTGGTTTACAAGGACACGGTTCCCATCGGTAATCCGTGACAGAAGCGTATAACGAATTCGCCGTTTGTTTTCTCCGCGACCTTATCGGAAATCGTTTGCGTGAGAGACAAGTAGGCATACGCGTAGTAGAAAACCGAAAGAAAGCAGAAGTCGAATGCACGGAGGGGAGACATTACCGTCGGTGATAGTGGCCGCGACCTCCGCGATTTCACCGTGTCACGCGTGGATCTGCGAGAGCCGAGGAAACGAAACGCCGAAAGGTAAAAGGGAAAGGAACCGCGTGCATCGATTGCGATCTCTCGTCTCACGATATTTTACCTCCGATTTCGAAGAACCCTGTTCCGTAATTTCTACACCTGTCCACGGTCGCTTACGCGTCCTCGAAACTCTCGAAACCGTGTTCTAACAATCGCTAAGGCTATACTGTCTCTTATTCACGGTCACCGATTCACGCTAACCGCCGCTGTCCTCTATAACGTTATTTTCTAATAAAAATTAACTAGCTGTTTTCTATTCTTCTATCGTATCGGAAAATCGTATTTGCAGAGGATATAAGGAATCCTTGAACGCAAAATGTTAAGGATGTATTGGCTATACACTCAATCCCAAAAGTTTATGTACCTTAGAAAAACGCATTTCCTATAATT